GTTATGCTGTATTTCTAAAGATCCTGCAATTTGTTAATTCAAATTTAATTGATCGTCAGTGTCACTAGACCCGGTTTTGCGTTACATACCCGAGACATCAATCGAACAGCAGGATAGTATTTTAGCGTCAACTTTTGAGAAGAGGCTAACGTTTCTCTTCTTGAGAAATACCACCATAATTTAGTTTCACTGTATGTCGCGTCAACTGCTACAAATAGAGTGAATAGTTTATTAAATTTAATTACAGTATTACAATTAGCATATATTAATATATTGTTATTATACAGTATACAGTATATGACATGCATGAAGACTTTATCGCATTGTTCTTTGATATAATGCTTATATGCAGGGCCGGACTTTCCAACTTTCCTAATTAATCACTGTACCTGGATGTGCAACCATGTAATAGGTTTTTGTGTTGCAGAAGACATTTTGTTACGTGGCATTGTGGGAATAACGCCATTGAGATGGCATTGCTCCCCTTTTAATTTGCCGAGTAAATAAGATCTCGGTTAGTGTAAAAAACGTTATTGCCCTATTTTAAATCACTGATAACGCATCTGTCTGTGAAAGCGGGAGATTGAAAAAAAAAACAACGGCCATTGAACAAGGTTTGCCCTACAGTCAGCTTAGTAAACAAATCGTAATCACAAGCACTTCATCTATCCGCAGATAATGCACTTGCTTGTGAAAAGCAACAAACGGAGTAATAAAATGCCCATTCAATATACAAAAAAAGGCTTGGCTTATCAGAAAAAAATTTTTAAGGATTCTATTTTAGATACTGATAACGCACCCGCTTCCTCCCCCCCAAAAGACCAACGAACAAATAGAAATGTCAAATAGACAATGTTATTATCTATGTTTCTGCAGAGTAAGCATGATTCATGTTTCCGATAATGTAATTGCTTGTGAAAACGTAACGTCATTCTGCTTTATAATCTACCGAATTTATTCGCAGAGAACTTTATCACGCAATTGTTCGTGAAAAAGACGCTTCTTGCTTCGAATTATCACGCAATTGCTCGTGAAAAAGACGCCCCTTGCTTCAAATTATCCGCAGCAAATTTTGGTAATTTACTGTAGATAGCCGATAACGTAGCTGCTTGTGAAAAAAAAAAGACGAAAAAGTAAAACTCTATTGAGCAGGTTCTGTGCAAAAGATAACATGCTTTTTTTCAAAGACTTTGTTAATCATATTTGGAATAATTAATATGCACTCATCTTCTGAGAAAAAAATGCCATTCGAGCAGAAGAAGCTTGTATCGTATTACCAAGAACATTTTAAATTTGATGATGCGAGCTGACAGCGTTTTGTCTTTCTATGCATTGCTAGAGCAAATAAGCACGTCATCCGACGCATGGCCCAGAACAAAATGATCGTAACAACGGCATATGCATCGTTATTATCATTTGTTCGACAAAAAATTTTAACACGTAATCTGATGTGCTTAGTAGCACTAAAAATTCTGTGCATAGCCCCAAATCTGTGTTTGGATTTCTTATAAAGCAGGCATCTGTTTGCCTCGTCAAAAATTGTCCATCGTTTGGTCGAAAAACAAACTTTATCCACTCTTTTAAGCCTTGCCTCTTCCCGCGTTTAATAATATGGCGGCCATTCGATGGACCACGTAACACGGTTCGTTTATGGCTCTTCGCGACTTGCATTCGGTATGCTACATAAATTCATTTGATTATACGTACATATATGCGTGTACACGTACACTAATTGTTTATTTTCCAACATTTGATATAGTTCGCAGTCGTGGAGAGAATATATGCATTACGCGGTGAAGCGGCATTTAAGGTAAAGTAGAATGTTTGCTGAGTTTATTATCGACTATTAGTCTAATATCGCTGACGCAATTACAATGCATATATTCTTTAATTATATAGGAGAACGTGTGTATAATGTCATAATAAAAATTTTATTACCGTGTGATTTGTCTCTTGCTTATTGTTTGCATATGTCGTTATAAATTATAATTTCGCACATTCAAATCGACGTTTAAACGAAATTAGAAATGCCTATTATCGACGTAATGCCGCGTAGATCTTTAACATAAACCTTGTACAAAAGAAATGCTTAATGCCATGATCTAAGCTCGCAGTCTGACTGTACGAGCGTCACCAACAATTTACTGATTGTAGACAACCTAATAATTCACTTAAACTGTGCGAGTTATACGAAAGCAAATTGGAAATGAAAAAGAAAACAGAACTTACTAATTATTGACCTCTTTTATTAACAATACCATCCTTGCATCAATAAATAATAGTGATCAGGCAATGTAAACAATTTATCGTTCGTACATGCCCGCATGTTACAATATCTACCGAGACAATTTCTTATTTCAAGATGATTGAGGTAGTGGCAAACGAATTAGTCTACCAAAGAATGATATGAAATCTGGCGCTTGCATAAAAATATCGATTGCGTTTGTGAGCTAGCGCCATGCGGGTGGTGGTGATTATGGAGGAAGTATAAAAAAAAGGACGTTTAAAGACAAGCTACAAAATACAGTTATGTGGCCTAGAGTTGATTGGGTTGTACCGATAAAGGGAATGTAGACAACTTGCTGGCGGATAATGCGGGCGGTACAGGACGAGATGATGCAGTTAGGTACCGGGAAATGTAGAAACATCAGTTTCAGTGATTCAAACATGAAGATGGACGTGTTGGAAGAAGTTTTCTCAAAATATACAGTTTTATGGCGCGTACCGGTTGACAATGCACCGGACGTGAAGGAGAAAATAACAAGTATAGATAAGGGAAGGTGGCATTGATGGTGTACTATGTAGGAGGTAGAGCGTGAAGGTTGGTTAACGAGACAAGGGTGAAACAAGAAGACATCAAGAAACGCTGAATTTCGTTGTCTGGCATGTGATACACCAGCGTAAAATCCCGCATTTAATCTTTAGAATCCATAAGACGTTCCCGAGTTAAGCAATCAACTAACAGCTGGAGGCTGTTTTATAAATCGCCTAAGCAGCGTTAGCGGGCTCGGCGATGGGATCTAAACTTCGGCTTCGTCTCTAATAAATGACAATTACGTTATTATGGCGACAAAAACAAAATCTGCCTATACTCCAACTTACCCTCTTCTGGTAGCAGTCGCAGTTTTACTCTCAATATCTCAACTAGTATAACTGCTGCTTGCTTAACTTCCTGGGCTTCTTCATATGATAATGTCCCCGCTGATATTTTGCTGAGACGCAACATTATCAAGGAAAGAGCAGTATCATTGTCGTCCTCTGATGAGTTGGATTGAATAGATCACGTATGGATCATAAATAGCTTCTTGGAGATGGACCCAGAATTCAAGCGTCTTCGCCAGTGTGTTAATAAACTGTTGTTAAGAATTTTTACAAATCAACGCTAAGTTTATCTTTTACTGATGAAAAGTCACGGCGAATACAAAAATGTCATATAAAATCAATATGTTATGTCATACAGCAACACGTACCGTATACAAAAGATGCTGATATGCTTGAAACGAAACAAGTAAGCCGACGTAGGTATGGAAAAAATTTTCTTTCTATACGAAGAAGTATAATAAAATGATGAAAGCGGAAGAATCAAGAACATCAGATTGCTATTTACGCAAGATGGTGAAAGAGGAACCGGCGATTGGGGACAAGTCGTACTGGAATCTCTCGAACGGTGTGAGACGGAGTTGGCGACCAAGTAACCATCTAATCCAAAACCCGCTCGTTTTCTCCTGAAATACTCCAATTGATAATTGTCGACTGTCGCGCTGTCTGTTTATCGACCCGTGAGGGTTAAGCCAAGACTGTAATACGTGAAGATATGATACATTGCCCCCACGGAGACCTCCCGTCCGTCTGCAAGCTGATAGTCAAGCATATAGGTAATTGTTAACATCCCATTACTTCTAACAACATATCTCTCGAGTATCAAGACGCATATTGTTGGTATAAAGATTCATAGAGATTCTACGGCTTGCATTTCAGAATGCAGTTGGACAACTGAATGAATAAATAATGCTTAATAATTGCTTGCGTTGAACCATTACAACAATACTTATAGCAACTGATAGAAATATAACATACCTAGACCATCGCAGTCAAATCCGTCTCGTCTGTCGTCATGAATAGCTCATATCAACGTCCACCTGCACCTTCTAAATTTAACAAACGGTGAAGCGATGTTTCTGACGTCTCTGTAAAAGGTGCTGACTCGAGGACGCCCTCCCATTATAGTAGACAGTTTGTTTTGTGATATTGCGAAAATCCTACAGTTG